TATAGGTCCCACATGTCAAACTTGTGGAGCGAGTCTGGCGGATAAGCGGACGAGGATAGCAAATTTCTTTACCCGCGAAGAACTATCCTCTGAATTCAGGATGGTGCCCGCGCCCATGCTCGCAGGCCAAAAGTGGTGCCCGTATCCTTGCCCATCGGGTTCCATGCTCGCGGGCATGCGGGCATTCTGTGCCTGTTGCCATCTTTATATTCATGCTATCACGGATGAACAGAGCCGAAGCAGATAACTTGCCTTCATTGTCTTTATTCTTACGGCCATATTAGCAGTAGCAAATTAATGCCACCTGAACGAACCCAAGTCTGGTTGACGTGCTGAGTACTGAGCCGATCGAACATGCCTGTACTGATGTATGTCAGCCTTGATAAAATCACTTGTTGCGTCTCAATCGATGGCCGAATAAATGCTAATATCGGCCTCTTGTAGTAAATAAAAAATTCGGTCCCATAGAATATTCAGAAAGAAAGTATCCGACTTCTTAATTAAATAATTGTTGTCCCATCGAGCGTGTCAGAAACGTGTGTTAACATAGAATTTTCGTCTCCGTGCCGAGGACACATGTAGCAAGCCAGAAGGATCCGCTCGATGGAGCAGATCCGCCTAGCTTCCGCACAAGGGTGGTCGATCATGCGCAATCCTCCCGAGACGTGTTAGTCAATTTGACCCTGCAATTGACAGGGAGAGAAAGCTTATCAGTAATTAAGAGCGAAACATGCCGGTGTTGCCAGACAGTCCCGAATGTGCGGCTGCATTGTGGATGTGGGTCCACTGCCTCAGTGACTGGGACCAGACGGGTGAGTACAGTTAGGGCTCTGTAGTCTTGGGTTTTCTTTACCGGCAGCTTTGCGAGGCGTGTCATCGGACTTCGTTCATGGCGTCACTTGGTGGATGCGTGTACCTACTCCAGTTGTGGATGTGGGCTCGTCTACCAGTTGGTCGTCCCGAGGTTCTGGCTCGTCGTGAGTGGTTCCTAGGTCAGCCTCCATGTCGGCAGCCGACATGGGCGTACCTTTAGGACCAGGTTAGGGTTCCGCACGCGAGGTTACAACGGGCGTATATTGAATTCACGAACGAGCTAGACACGCTCATGGCGTCTAGTGTAATTAAATTTTATTTCCCATGCTGGTTTGAAATGGTTTAGTATAGCATCTAACATCTTGTTTGGACATGTTGCAGGTGTCGTGGGAGCCGTACGATGGAGAGGGGGCACTTCCTTTTCAGTTGAGCACCATGTGTGGGTGCGACGACGACTTCTATAGGATGAGGTGCCCTCTAATCTGTTTCTATGCTGTCGAGTTTCACCTGCCAGATAGAGTTGCATGCCAATTTGGAGTGAGACAGCTTTGGCCAATGGCTCCATTCTCGACTGGCGTTGACTTACATAAGTAAGTGTTTTGTTATTTCAATTGTCTCGTGATGGTCCATTTCCATTAATAGGCTCTTCAGTGAAACAAATTAGGCTTCTTGTGACCAGTTATAACACATTGAAACGACAACTAAACCTGCATCTGCCTATATATACGCAATGTTGGATGCATTGCTACTTACTTACCAACTAGTATTTTCTTTCGTTGCAGTACCAATGTCTGGAGGGTCGTCCAGAGGGAGAGGGAAGGGGAAGGAAACTACCATTGTGTGGGAGGGTTCTCTTGGTCCCGATTTCTTTGAGGAAGCTCTTTATGAGAGGTTCCCAGTTGAGAGCAAAAGTGATTTCACCAAAGAGGCACCACTGAGAGGATACGATGAATGGAAAGAAGAGTTGCCAAAATGCATGCATGGTGAGGACTGCCTAGTGCAGATGTTCACCAAGGGAATAGATAGAGGTCGTCGTTTCTTCAAATGCCCGCGAGCATGGGTAATTGCTATTACTATTTATTTCTTCAACATGTTCCTCTTCTATATAACTTACATGACATACTTATTGCAGTCTTCCTTGGTCGAAGAAAACTGTGGGTCCACTAGGTGGGTCGATCCTCGACCTATTTATCCGCATGCGGAGTATATCTACTACCTGCAGGACCGTATCTTCGATCTAGAAAGGGAAGTTAGCAGCGGTCACAAGAACGACGAGCAGGACGACAACAACAATGGTGCCGATTCACAGGAGGCACTCTACAATGATCTATATTGCACCTGCCCTAATCACAAGAACAAGGGGCCTCCACCATCACCCCCGCCACCACCACCATCAACAATGGGAGGTTACTATGGAGAAGGTGCAACACAATTTGCTATGTGGCCACACTACTAGGACGACCCTATCTTATTCACATGGCACATCCATCTGTTTGTTGTTTGGTTTAATTATCTAAGGCATGTTAGGTTTAGTCGAAGGAACTATGTACCCTTGTTTGATACATGTTCTCACATGTCATTTCTTGTGCTTGTTGTTCGCTTCAATTACCTAAGGCATGTTAGGTTTAGTTCAGGACCTCTGTACCCTAGTTCGGTACATGTTCGCACATACCATTTCATGTGTTTTGTGTGTCGAATTATATAATGTCCTACTTTGTTAGGTTTTGTTTGCAGCACGTGATCACATTTCACTACGTCCGCAATATTAAACTGAATATTATGACCACAAATAATGAATACAACTATGTAATGAAAAGTTCAATACTATGACACATTAAACAACACAATAATACTACAAGTACATGTCGACAAACTAAATAACACATTACATGATCTAAGCATGCCCATACTTAAAGTGCATTACATGACAACACAATAAAAAGTCCAACAGTAGACAACATTGTTCATGAATAAACCATAGAACTAGCAAGTCATGGAGACTACTGAGTGCAACGAGGCCACTTTCCCTTCCTCAGAGCATCGAGATTCTCCTCCATCGCTGCTTTCGCTTGGCGTGCACGCTCAAGCTTCTTCTCCCTCTCCTCCCTGTACGCAGCAACACACATTCTTTCCTCCTCTTTCTTGTGCTCCTTTTTTGCAGCCTCCTCTCCACGTCTCTTCTCCATCATCTCCTTGTCCTCTGCCTCCCACCACAACAGTTTTGCATCTATTCCTTGTCTTCAGGCTTAATCTTAGTGTCGATTCACTGCTCAAAATCAAAAAGCGGTGGAGGGGTCTGCAAAAAATGCAATTGTTACAAAACAAAAAAATCATGCAAGATGTCATATGATATAAACATCAATTTCTCACCATCTTGTTAATGCGGCGCTGACGAAGTGCAGACTCAAACGCAAAATTAGAACACATCAAATACCTCTGCCTATACATGTCCTCTTCATCGGACTTGGCTACTTTGCAAGGATCGCCGCAAAAGCATATGGGCACTGAAACACCACTAGGCAGAGGCAATGGGTTCAAGCTATTTCCGGTCATCCGGCCATAACTACAATTTAGCCATTTTTGTTCTAAGAACCGAAATCAATTAACATTAAACCCTACACCTAGGGTTTCCCATTTGATCGGACAACAATGAACCCATAACATAACAACGTGCGATGAGGTTACCTTGGTTTGCTAGCTTTTTCACGCCTTGGCATCCTACGGTCGTATAATATAAATATTAAAATTGTATGAAACCCTAAGTAATGACGATTCTTAAGTTGAAAAATCGAACAGGATGATAGTATTAATGCATGAGCTGTATTCACACATCTAGAACTTAAGCAACACACAACAATGCATCAAGCTGCTATAGGAACACTCTAAAATGGGAACCTTTTGTAGTCATGGTGCAAGGCCGAAAATGGAAGACATGAGATTTCCAAGACCAATACAATCACCTTGCCCTTGCCATTGTCAAGACCATATCCTACCAAACCATATGTGTCAACAACTGAAATTGATACGGTTGTACCTACTGTCAATCCATGAAGAACATGACTTCTAAGATCCATGCAGGTCGCCAAAAATACTGAATCTAAGAGGCAACAGACTTGGACTTTTGCTTACAACAAATTGAATAAATAAGTGAGACTGAGACAGGGATGTTGCCGAACATGCAACAGCCTTAGGAAATTATGCAGAATAGTGCCTTTTCATGCACTTTCAGACTAAAAGAATGAACCAAATACTTTTCTGAGATTGAACTGGCCCTTGCAATAGTTTGAATCATTCGCTAAAAGTCTAAAAGACCAAATCAAACAATGAAACACAAAACGTCTGAATAAAACACTGAAAGACGCAAAAACTTCAGGGAAAAAAATGACAAATTGTAACAACTGGAAAACTGAAGAAACATTGACAATGATGGTGTCACCTTTGCCTCATGTCCTTATCTGTTCATGGTGCCCTCTATCATCGATGATTGGCAGCGTGGCACGGCGTTGATCGCGTGCAAACTGGTATCACTGGAAGACTGTAGAAACCATTTGAAGCATATATCTCAACTTGTAACCTTGGTGGCCTAGGTTTGACCTATAATTAACAGAGGAGACAATTAACACATAAGAATAGGCTAATAGTTGATCTACAAATTGCATACATCATAGAGGTACCTCTAGTTATTTCTCATGGTATATAATAAATTGATTTCACATCAAACAACCTGCATGCCACATTGATCAAGCAACCTGCGCTTCACTGTTTCAAGCTCTGACTTCACGAAAACAAAGTTCGGTATTTATGATATGCAACCCCAATATGAAGGTGCTAATGTACCACGCAACATGTGCTGACGCTAGCATTTAAGGAAACAAATAAAGCCACCTGTCGAAATCTGAGAAGTATCCCGTGAACAAAAATACAATCTTCTCCCCCCCACTCCCGTTCAGCAAAGAGTTTCAACATTCCATTTTATAAAAGACATCAGGAAAATCTTCCTACCAAGTGAATCCCTGCAATGTGCCTGAATAATCCAAATGTGCCCAACTTATCACCTTTAACTAACAAAGTTAATGTTACTTAGAAAGAAAATAGCTCTATAACAATGACCAATATGTTTAGCAAATGTATACCTTGCAAATCCTGAGTACTGAGAAACACTCACATGGACTACTGCTTTCTTCACAATGGCTCTCTGCTCAACTACAGTGATTTCACCTCCATATGCCACTGCTCGATTCGCGGTCGGCTCCACCTCCTCCTACAATTTCTCATCCTCATCGGTGAAGGAGTCCCGAGTCCGGGTCGATGCCGTGGGACTGGAGATGGGAGTGGTAAGAGGCGGCGAGGTCCTCATGGACCTCGCGCTTCTTGTCGGCGCGGCCCTCGGCATAGACTGACGGGCCTCCATCTGCATTGCGGCGATCTCCCGCTGCAGGCGCTGAATCATGAGCATGGCCTCGCTGGCCGCCGTCTCCGCGGAGGCCCGCTCGGCGTCGAGCTCCTGCCGCAGCCCCCGCGCTTTGCGTCCTCCTTCTCCTCGAGCAGCTGCGCTGCTGCCGCCTCCAGCTCCTCCACCCGCCAGATCAACTCCTCCATCGCCTCGCCGTGTCCTTCGGGACCTCCTTCTCCCCGAGCAGTTGCGCCGCCGTCGCCTCCAGCTCCTACACCCGCCAGATCAGCTCCTCCCCCGCCTCGCCGTGTCCTCCGGGCCTCCTTCTCACCGAGCAGCTGCGTCGCCGCCGCCTCCAGTTCCTCCACCCGCCAGATTAGCTCCTCCTCTGCTTCCAACCCACCTTGGGCGACGCTCCGGCACCGCCAGGGGGAGCTACGACCTTCAGCGCGCATCTCCACCACCGGCTCCATGTGAGCCCATCGCTTTGACGCCGGGTAGAGGCGGCAGGACGCGGGCTCGGCAAAGGCCCCGCGGTTCCCGATTGCACGCCGGGTAGAGGCGGCGGCGGCGGGATGCGGGCAGCCGTGAGGCGACGGTGTCGACGGGGCAAGGGCGAAGGGGCTTCCGTGGTGCGCACACGGATCGGGCGACGATCGGACGATCTGAGCAGCAGTTGTGCAGGCGGGAGGGAAGAAGGGCGATAGAAGGCCGCGGGGCAAGCTGGGCGTCGTGCGCGGGCGGCAGTTCCGCGTTGGTACAGGGAGGGGTAACGATAGGGGGAGGAGGGGGGTTGGGCGCTGAGGATGACCTCCGGGTCTTTTTGGTACTAATTGAGACTGCGTTCCTGCCGCCATGCATGATACAAGTGATCAGTATGACGATATGTATGTCGGCACGATTTCCACATGAGACTATATACAAACAGAGCAAAATCTCCGACGTACTCCGATCCGATCCCTAGCGTTTAGTAGGTACCTGCTCGAGTCCCTCCTTGGACGTTGCCGCATGCACGCACTCATCACGCATGACGCATGTACGTACAATAAAGTAGTGGCTGGTTTCGGTGGAGGAGCCAGGATTTTTTTTGAGCCTGGCCAGACGCGATGTAATACTAAGGATCTACTAGTATATTATCCGTGCTAATGCTACAGCAACATATAGGGTAACAAATATTAAACAGTCATTCATCGAATCAAACTTGGTAAACAACCTATCATTACAAATTTGAAAAAATATGGTAAATCTAAATCAATCTATTATATTTGATCACTAGTTATTACAGATGTGTCAGCCTGTTGGTACAACCATCTTTCGGTAAATCCCCAAACTGTTTCGAGATAAGAACTAAATTTTACAAATATATTGTACCATGCTTCGTGAAACCTTCCACTTTTTCCGTGGCCTCCAATCTCCACGTTATACACCTTCCACTCGGTCCAGCAGGCACAAGGAGGCCATGTTCGGGTGCAGGGGGGGGGGGAGACAACATCGGTGATGGAGCCGGCACCGGCGAACCAGGTCGGCCGCTCCACCTCTTGCCTCACACCCCTTGCCCGAACCACCTCTGGCGCCGGCAACTACGGCCGGCCGCGCCATGCGCCACCCCGCCCGAGCCGCATCACCTCGGCTGTGGATGTGTGTGTGTGTGTGAGAGAGAGAGAGGTAGGGGGTTGATAGGAGAGGGGAGAGAAAGAGGAGGGCGACGACAGGAGGGAGACCGGGGGTCCGGGAGGGCATTTCTTTTTTTTTGGTGTGGGGGGGGTATCGGTTTTAGAATTGGTAGAGAAAAGGGAGCAGCGTGGGAATCGATCCCTAGCCGCGGAACCAGGTCGTAGGGGGCGGAGGGCGTGCGGGGTGCGTTGAAGCCTCATCGCAGTTGATACAAACAACCGTAGCAAAGGATTGGGTTGAAGTCTTTGAGAGAAGGTTTTTAGCCCTTGATTTGAATGAAGACGATTTTCTGGGTGCAATAGGTTTGGTGCACAGTGGTTGAGCTCCTCTGCGGGCGACGGTTTTTTTGGGTGTACCAGGATAGTTTGGATTGTTCAACTATAGTAGAGAAGATTTGGCACGGCTCTGGCTCCTCCGAAGATGGTTCTAACTCCTCACATGGAGTAGCTTTTTCGGTGGAGCTGAAGTTATTTTGAAAAACATTTTGCAAAAACAATTCCAGTGACAATTTTTTAATAATTTGTATTAGGATTGTAAAAAGCAACCGGGAGAAGTCATATTTCTACGGCTCCGGCTCCTCTATAAAAAAAGGCTCTAGCTCCTTCGGGCTCCTTGTACGGAGCCATTTTGTAGATGCCCGTTTTGCAAGGCTCCTTGCAAGGAGTCGCAAGAAGCCCGAGCCGGAGCCCTATCAAACAGAACCTTACACATAATATGGAGCATTGTATATGAAAGCAAAATTATAGAACCACAATAATTTTAAGCTAATCCATCTCCCTAGTACATGTTCGTGGCTAGTTTAGTGGGTCCTAACATCTACCACTAATATATTACCGCCTACAGAGTTTTACATAATAGCAGAAAGTTTGTACCGCGCTTGTCGGTTGGCTCTGCAGAGCTCCTCCTACCAATTAGCAAAGCAATCGATTTGATGTGCTGGCCTAAAGAATTAATCGGTGCCAAATCCTTCCATGATCTGTCCTGCTAGTTCCTTCTTCATTTTCCTTTTTCTTCCCACGTGCACTCCACAGCAGGCATCAAAATGACGTATGATCTTCAATGCTACACATATTTCTGACTGTATTTCTTTACCAGCGTCACCATATGTCCATATGCACGTGTGATCGGGCAGAGAGAGAGAGAGAGAGACGAACAGCAGCAGCTCTGCATGCGTTGCAGCTACCAGTATAGTATAGGTAGTGACGTAGTGTACGTATGTGTTCACCAGGTGAGCCCGGGCACCGGCCCAGGGTGGCCGGGCCTTGGCTCCGCCACTGGCTGGTTTGGACTCACAACCACAAAAAACGATTTTAGAAGATGGTCTCTCTGATTAATAGAGGCGAGACCGCCATAAATGACCAAACAGCCTCTAGTAGGTAAATGATCATTTTTTAAAATTTATTCACAGAGACGAACGTTCTAAGGTTGTTGCCTTTGTAAATCATCGATTTACAGAGACGGTTGTCTTAGGATACCCGTATCTGAAAACCGTTATTAACATAGGCGGCTATTCTTAGTGTCTGACATCTTAAGCGGACCGTTTTTATAAATAGCTACATCAAAAAAAAATTCATAATGTTTCCATATGAAGTCGTATGAAGACAAACTTTATCAAAATTATAGCTCTCGACGCGATTTACAACTTTGTAGTTGACAGGGATTTTTCGGAGTGGTCATTTTTTATTTTCAGAGGCGGGCAAGCCATCCACCTTTAACCAATCGTCACTGTTAATCGCAATGTTCAGAGGCGGGTATCTTTGTTTGTCCACCTCTGAAAATCGATTTACACAGTGCAAAGCGTATGGGCAGATGCTCACGCTCGCAGCAGAGGGCGGCTGAGATTGAGTCACCTCCTCGCTCCTTCAAATGACATGCATGGCTTGGTCTCATGCCTTAATTAGTGTCCATCTGAAATCTAATGGTCAGCTAGATGCGTATACTCTTATGCTCATACAGATCTAATCTCAAAAAATGAGTAAATTCTATCCACCACACAACAAGTTGTTTGGTTCAATAATATATTTCAAAATGTGCAAACAAATACATAAATTTGTTAAATGAGTGCACATGTACAATCACAGAAAGTATTTTTCCACGGTGGCACATGCATGTTGGTGACCATTTATGCTATCGTAATACTCCTTCCATTCTAAAATTATAAGACATTATTTTATTTAGTTTTTCTAGATATTTTGTTTTTATATACTATGCATATAGACATAGTGTATATCTAAGTGAATAGAAAAACTATATGAATTTAAAAAAGTCAAAACGTCTTATAATTTAGAGTGGGGGGAATACTTAAGAGTGTGGCACACGATCTAAAATCCTTATTTTTAATAAAATACTTCCTCTGTCCAAAATTATAAGACGTTTTGGCACTTATAGATTCGTAGCTTTTATTATGTATCTAGACATAATATATATCTAGGTGCGTATCAAAAGCTATGAATTTAGAAAAGCCAAAACGTCTTATAATTTGGAACGGATGGAGTACAAAAAAGAGTTAATTTGATAAAGATAGAATTACAAGAGATTTAACTTAATTTAAGGATAACAAGTTTTGTAGCAACTATCAAGATCAAATAATTTAAAATCAAAATCTAGATTGTAATCCATGTGAGCCCACGTGTTGATGGACTAGTATATATAATTTTATTTTTTACGAATTACACAGTACACCGTGGATCATGGTTACCCTCCTGTGACCATATATATGCGAACCCAATCAACAGTCCCACCTTGCGGGCCACCGTGGAAAATATACTTCATGGCTTGCGTGTGACCGACGTCATAGATTTAATAAGTTTATACATTTATTTATACTCTTACCACTTGCTAACTAAATAGTACTTCCTCCGTTCCAAATTATAAGACGTTTTATTTTTTGGACATACAGATTTTGTTATGCACCAATGCGCCACCTCCTTCGACGGGAGCAGCCCCTTCTCGACGAAGGCGGCCAGCACCTCCTCGTCCACGGTGGAAGGCCTCCAGCTCGACTCACGCCTCGGATTCACAGACGGATCTGTAAGTTCTCCTCTTCCTCGCTTTACCCTCTCTCCTAGAAACCGCCGCGGCGCACGAACGGGCTTGGCGAAAAGGAAGAAGTAGAAGAGGCAGCAGTTGGAGAAAGATGAAAGAATGGGAGAAAAACCCTCTCCCTTCCCCCTATTTAATGCGGGGAGACATGCGGTGGGACGCGTCCTGGCTGATGGGACGCGCCCTGCCCAATGAAACGTCGCCTGGTCAAACGGGACGTGGCCTGGTCAGGGCCCACCACTACCGCAACCTAGGCGTAGGAAACAAGGCGCAACCACACGCAAAACGACCCTCCGCCTTCCCAGGCAGGATTTGGAAGGGCCAACCAATGGGATCTCCATCGAGGAGAGACCAACGGGTCACCCGAGTCGATCGGACGGCTGTCGAGAGACAGGTATGGAGCAGTGGGATGCCCCATGCGGGCTATGCCGACTCCGTCACGAACGACGGGCCCGGATTCCATTCGGACATATCCGATAGAAAGCTCCCCGAACCCGTCACTCGAGCCATTCGAGGTAACTTTACCAAAACCCCTTTTTCTATTTTCAGGTGCATGATCGTTCATTCATCCATTCTCATGCATGCATCCATACATTCATCCCATACATCCAAGCATTGCATATGCAGTTGTTGCATCACAACGCTTCGTGTTGCGTCACGAAGCGGTAGTCGCCTCATTCGATATGAGCGACAACCGACCAGGGTTCGAAGGCTAGCCCACGAAGGGCTCGAGGCTGCCTCGTGTCAAACAGAGCCAGGGG